GGCGCCGCCGCCTGGGCGAGCCGCTCCCCGCGGCGTCAAGCCAGCCCGGCTGCTCGGCGGCGCTGCAGCGCCAGCTGAGCCTGCACGGCGCAGCTGATGGCCTTGTAGGCCCGCGTCAGCTCGCCGGGCTGCTGGTCCTCCGGCAGCGTGCGCACCTGCCGCAGAAGCCACTGTCGGGCTTCTCCGCCTAGACGCCCCGGGGTTTCCACCACGAACGGCGTCAGTCTGTCCCCCGGGTACCTGGCGTGTTTCTGGCGCTCGCCTCTCCGGGCGGCCTCGCCAGGCCTGCGCGCCGCCGCCTGCGCCACGTCCTCGGCTGCCGGGTGGCGGACCGAAACGTCGATCCAATGGCGGCTGGCCCCGTCGCTGTACTCGACGTCCAGGATTGCGCGTTCGAGGAGGTCTGCGTCTGGCGGGTCTGCCGGCCGCCGGTTGCGGACACGGTCCCAGGCCGGCACCCGCTGCTCCGTCAGCGGCTCCTGGTGCAGCCAGCGGCGGACCAGGCCGGCCACCGCGTTTTCGAGGCTGCCGTGGCGGCGCCCCACACCGCCGCCCAGGGTGCAGGTGGCCGCGTGCGTGCCTTGCTCGTCCAGCGGCTGCCCGCAGGGCGCGCCGCGGGCTCCCTCGGCGGCAGGGCGGTTCTGGCAGGACTGCGCAGCCGTCTGGAGCTCTGCCTGCGCGCATTCAGGCCTGGGCAAGTGCGCGCGGGCACGGAGCCCCGTGGCCCAGAGCGCGTCCTCCAGCGAGCAAGCGGGATCGCTCGGGTAACCGAGGAACCCCGCTGCCCCTGGCCCTCCGGCCCCCAGGAGCGTCGCCCGCTCGTGGCTGTGCAAACGCTGCCTCAGGGAAGCGTGGGTTTTCTTTTGCACAGCTTGCACGAGAGTGCTCTGCTTCGCCGGGTGCTGCAGGGCGTCCAGCAAGGAAGCGCCTGGGGCGGGGTCCGCGCCCTGGAGGGAGAGCTCCGTCCGCGCGTCGGAGAGGGCTTCGCCGAGTCGCGGCGCCGCCTCCAGGAGCTCGAGCAGGGAGTCGGTGCCGAGGTCCGCGGCCACGCTGGACACGCAGGCGGTCCAGCCGGCCCAGAAGGCCGCGGCTCGTCGCGTCGTCGCCCACTGCAGCCCCGCGCCAGAGAGCTTGAGGGGGAGGCCGAGGATCTCCCGCGCCGCGGCGTCCAGGGGCCTCCCCGCGAGCTCCTCCCAGTAGCCCGCCAGAGTGGCGTCGTAGCGAGCCGCCTCCGCCTCGCCAGCCAGCTGCGCGCGCAGGACGTGCTGGCTCGCAGCGCCCGCGTAGGTGCGCAGCAAACTCCCAGTCGCCTGCAGCGAGAGGCCGCGCTCGCCAACCGTGCGCTTCCCAAGCGGCCGGAGGGCGTTCCAGAGCTGCGTCAAGCGCCCAGCGGACTGCTCAAGGCCGCTGTTCTGGCCCAGCTCGAAGGGCGCGTCGGCCACGTCGCCCCGCGCCCGCAGGCGTGCACCGAGCACGGGGAGTGCTGGCACGAAGTGCGCGCGTAGCTCTGGGGGCACAACCTGCGGCCCAGTCGGAGACCATACCTGCGTCTTTGCGGCGTTGAGCTCCAGCCCGAGGGGCTCCAGGAGCTCCCCCAGGCGGCGGAGGGCGGCCGTGGCGAGCCCCGCTGGGAGCACCAGGTAGGTGTCGTCCAAGTAGGAGTAGAGTCTCACGTCTGGGTCCTGCTGCGAGAGCTCCTCCAGCAGCTGGGAGAGCGCCGCCCTCTGGCCGACCGAGAAGGCAGCTGGCGCCAGCGGGTCCCCCTGGTCAAAGCCGAGGGTGCTCTCGACTTCCTCGAAGTTGCCCGCTGCGTCCCGCCAGAGGTGCTTGGCAGACCCGGAGTACCACTTGTCAAGCACCCACGCGATCTCCGGCACGTGCACAGCCATGGCCCGGATGGCTGGGTCTCGCCGCAGGCGCTGGAAGGCCGCCTTGATGTCCACCTTGACGAACACCACCCCCGGGTGAGCGTCGGACTGGGCCTGCAGCTGCTTGACCACCAGGTCGGTCCCGCACTTCCGGCCGACTCCGTACTGGTGGGGGCCCGCCGCCTGCTGGAGCCCCCCTTTTTTGACCCGGGCCAGCGCGCGCATCCCGAGTCTCCTCAGGCTGGCCCCCACGAGCAGCGGGCGGACGTCGCCGTTCCCCTTTTCCAGGGCCACCACCTCGCCCACCCGGAGGGCTTGGAGCACCGGCGCCGGCACCTCGCCGAAAGTGAGCTTGGTGACCGCCTGGGACAGCAAAGAGAGCGCCTCCGGGTCGCCCGCCGCCGTGGCGAGGTGCTCCAGGCGGGCCCCGAGCAAGCCTGGAGCGGTCAGCCGGGGTGGCTTGCGGAGGAGTTTGCTGACCTCCTCTTGCACCTCGTCCCAAAGGTCTGGGTCAGGGGCGGACCCGCGAGGGCCACCAGGCTGGGCAGGGCCACCCTCCGCCGGGGCAGGGGGGAAAGCGCCGCGCACCTTCTCCAGCGTGCTGCGGGTGCGCGGGGCGAGCGGGGTGCCCCGCGCTGCCCCGAGCGCCCGTCCTTCTTCGCCGGCTGCGGCCAAAGTGTGGACCCGGCGCGCCTTTCTCTCTTGCTCGTCCGTCTGGTCCTGCCTGGCGGCCTTGGCTGGGGGCGCGGACCGTCCAGCGGCGTCTCCCCACAGCGCGCCCCACTGGCCTCCCCACCACCACGCCAGGCGCTCCTCGAGAGCCTCGGCGTTGGTGACCTGCCCGGCCGGCTGTGCCGTGAGCAGCGCGTCGAAGAGGAGTAGCGCCTTCCACTCCTGCTCAGAGTCCCCCCTCACGGCCGCCGCCGCCAGCACCTCCAGCAGCTTGAGGCGGGCGGTCACGAAGGCGCCCCGAAACCGATCCAGCACCTGCACGAAGGTCGGGGTGCCGATGCGCACGGCCGCGGGCCATGGGAGGCACTCCCACCACCCGCGATTGGGGAGCGCGCCGCTGTCCCAGTCTTGGTGTAGCGGCGGCGGCAGCGGGCTTGCCTCCCCTTCCCGCGTCTGCCGCTGCAGGCGTGGCACTGGTAGCCGAGCCAGGGCCGCCCGCGCGGCCTGCACGTGCTCCTCCGTGGCTTGCCCACAAAGGGACAGATTATCTGCGCTATGCACGAGGGGACTGGCGCATGAGAGGCATTTCCATCTCCCTCGATCCCGGCTGCCCCACGGAGCCAATCGCAGCTCCTGGCTCTCGAAGGGAATGCCGCATCCTCTGCACGAAGCTGGGCGGGAGGTCGCCGGCTGCAGGCCCACCGCCCAACGCTGCTCCTGTCGACGCCGGGGCTGGCGCCTGCCCCCGTCCATCTCCACGTCGCCCTCCAGCAACTCCTCGTCCTCGACCCCCTCTGGCATCTCCTCGTCCTTATCCGGATCTGCGGCCATGATGGCGGGGGCCGGAGCCCCCGGACGGCGAGAGCGAACAACTGCAGAGGATGAAAAGCGAGCATTGAACAATATCCGATGCGATGGTTGGTAGGTGGGGCGGGAGGTACGGTATGCGGCTGCCGACGCCGACGGGGCGACAATCGACAGACACGGGAGCCCCTTCCTCGCTCCTCGCTCCTCGCTCCTGGCTCCTCCTCCTCCTCCTTCTCCTCCTCCTCCTCCGCCTCCTCCTCCTCCTCCGCCTCCGCTTCCGCCTCCTCCTCCGACTCCGACTCCGACTCCGACTCCGATTCCGACTCCGACTCCTCCTCCGACTCCGACTCCGACTCCTCCTCCGACTCCTCCTCCGACTCCTCAGACTCCTCAACTCCTCGACTCCCAGACTGCTCGACTGCTCGACTCCTCGACACCTCGACTCCTCGGCCCCTCGACTCCTCGACTCCTCGACTCCTCGACTCCTCGACTCCTCCACTCCTCGACTCCTCGACTCCTCCGACTCCTCGACTCCTCGACTTATCGAGTCCTCGAGTCCTCGACTCCTCGACTCCTCGACTCCTCCACTCCTCGACTCCTCGACTCCTCGACTCGACGAAACCTCGACTCCTCGACCCCTCGACTCCTTGGCTCCTCGACTCCTCGACTCCTCGAGTCCTCGACTCCTCGACCCCTCGACTCCTCGGCTCCTCCACTCCTCGACTCCTCGACCCCTCGAATCCTCCACTCCTCGACTCGACGAAACCTCGACTCCTCGACCCCTCGACTCCTCCACTCCTCGACTCCTCCGACTCCTCGACTCCTCGACTCCTCGAGTCCTCGACCCCTCGACCCCTCGACTCCTCGCATCCTCGACTCCTCGACTCCTCGACTCCTCGACTCCTCGACTCCTCGACTCCTCCACTCTTCCCCCTCCTCCTCCTCCTCCTCCTCCTCCTCCTCCTCCTCCTCCTCCTCCTCCTCCTCCTCCTCCTCCTCCTCCTCCTCCTCCTCCTCCTGACTGACTGACTCATGGCTGATGAAGGTGATCCCGAAGCCACGCACACCTGTCCTGCCCTTGTCGCCTCGGCTGGGTGATGAGGGGGCGCATTAGGGAATGGTAAGACGCGAGAGGTAAGACAAAACTGTGAGGCTCGACCCCAGTAAGGAGTTAGAGAGAGAGAAAGAGAAAAGGAGAGGAGGCACCAACAGAATACATCCATCGGGGGGAGGAAGAAGAGGTGGAGGTATACGGTAGGCACAGACAGGCGCAGATGGACCCATAAGGGCCCTGTCTTGGGTTCCCCCCCCATTTGTGTCCGCCGACCTCTTGGGGTCGGTGCCCTAGGGGTGCCCTGGGTCAACCCTCTTGGGGCGCCCTCGTGGACAGAGGATGGGGGGCGGGTGGGGGTGGGCACTGAGTTAGCCGAAGGCTTGTTACACATGAAAAGTGCCCGTGGCCCTGATGGCCCTGGAGGCGGTCCTCCTCCTCCTCCTCCTCCTCCTCCTCCTCCTCCTCCTCCTCCTCCTCCTCCTCCTCCTCCTCCTCCTCCTCCTCCTCCTCCTCCTCCTCCCGCTTTCCGTCCCTTATCTGATCGAGCCTGTCGGCGTGAGCCGCTCTCCTGCCCCAGGCGGCTTCCCCCCACCCCGCGCCTCCTGCTCGGAGGCGCCACCCTGCGTTTCTGGCCACGCCGGCACGGGCTCGCCGCCTCTCGGGGGGAGGGGGGGCACGAGTGGCCCAAAACCCGCCGAGCGGAGGGATGGGCGGAGGGGGCCCAGAGCCCCTCGCGCCATGAAAAAATCACGACGGGGAGGGGAAGGTGTCGCTCGTTTCGGCCCCCGGGGGCCTGACCGGGCTTCAGGACCGCCCAAGAACGATTCGGGATGAACAGCCAGTCCCTGGAGATGGGTCGGGACCTCTGGGGGTCGACGTGATGAAACAAATCATGACGTTGGGGGTCTTGGGGCGGAAGGGGAGGGGGGGGGGCAGGGGATCAGCATCGCCAGGCCTGTCCCAACCCCCCCTGGGCCAGGGCTTCTCGGCGCCCCCAGCCTTCCAGCCCCCCTCGAGGCGGGGAGGGCTGCCGGCGAGGCCCGGCGGAGAGGGTACCTGCCCCCGCCCCAGGGCGGCAGGCAGGCCTGAGCTGGATCGAATCGCGAAGTCGGATCCGATCGGCAGCGGATCGGATCGCCAGCGAGTCGTCTCGACTCGTATGTCGGGGATGGACAGACCCCCCTTAGTAGAACGTGGCTTGGTGAACACGGCCTGAGGCCCAGACCTGGCGGGCGCAAGCCTGGAAAAGAGCGGCCACGGCGCCCTCTCGAGAACCGAAAACGGACAATTCGCTAATCGACGCGTCCCTGTTGGGGGTTCTGTCCGGCCCCGAGTGTGCAGGTCGGAGCGCCGCGCCCGGATATCCGGCTGGTCCTGGCCAGGGCCGGAGGCCAGAACCGAGTCGACTCGAATATCCGAATCGCGGCCCCGGCCGGCGGATCGCACTGGAGCGTCGGCGGCCCCGGCAGGTCGGACAGCGGGGTCAAGGCTGTTCAGACAAGCGATGGGGATGGGTCTTTTAGGGCGACGAAATCTATACATATCCACTGCTCCCTGGCCAGGCCCATCCTCAACCCCGCAGCGGTGTATACGCCACGCCCTCCTGGCTTGGCCAGGAGGGCGCATACACAGCTCCTGGGTTCAAGATGGGCATGGTCAGGGAGCAGTGGATATGTATAGATTTCGTCGCCCGAGGGTCTTTCGGAAAGAAAAAACGCAGAAGCATAAGCTGCCGGAGATCAGCGCGGCCGGTTCGTTCTTCTCCGAGGGAGGTCAAGGGCGCCTCGCTGAGGGGCAACGACAAGGGGGGGAGGGGGGGGGCTGGCTCGGGAGGGGAAGCATTGACTTGGAATCGGATACACATCGCCGATGAATCGGCGATTGGCCCCCGAGTGCGAGACCGCGAGCTCATGGGCGGGGTGGGCTATCAGGCAACTCGCGGCCATGAAAAGGCGATTGGGGGTCGATGCACTCCCCCCTGAGACGGTCCACCCTACACTCTGCGAAATGCTTTAGAAATCATGGGTTAAGAAATCCCACCAGCCCTTTAGGGCGTAGGTGGTCTAGGGAGTTTCCTCTGCCAACCCCCTTCTTCCCCTTCGGGGAGGGGTTTACCCCTCCCCTTACCCCTCCCCACTGACCTGGACGGGGCCGGTCGCGAGGTGTCAGAGCGTCCAAGATGGCCCAAGACAGCTCCAAGAGCGAACAGGCGAGAAAACACAAAACATTGATTTTACCTAGGTTTTGGAAGGATTTTGGCATCTTGGGGGGGCCCAAGAGGCGACTCGAGGCACTCTGGAGGGGCGGGGCTAATAAGCAACCCCCCCTTCTTTGATAGATCTCCTCCAAGATGGCCCAAAGAGCGCCCCGAAGGCTCCCAAGAGCGCCCCAAGAGCGCCTCAAGAGGGCCCCAAGAGACCCCAAGAGGCCCCCAAGAAGCCTCCAAGACGTTGCCAAGAGACCCCCAAGAGGCCCCAAGAGAGTCCAAGATGACCCAAGACGGCTCCAAGAGCGAAAAGGCGAGAAAGCAACAAACATTGATTTTACCTAGGTTTTGGAAGGATTTTGGCCTCTTGGGGCGCCCAAGAGGCGACTCGAGGCACTCTAGAGGGGCAACGCTAATTGGGGACCCCCTCTTCTCTGATCGATCTCCTCCAAGATGGCCCCAAGAGCGCCCCGAAGGCTCCCAAGAGCGCCCCAAGAGCGCCCCGAGAGCGCCCCAAGAGGCCCCAAGAGGCGCCCAAGAGGCCTCCAAAAGGCTCCCAAGAGACCCCCAAGAGGCCCAAGAGGCTCCCAAGACGGGTCCAAGAGCGAAAAGGCGAGAAAACAAAAAACATTGATTTTACCTAGGTTTTGGAAGGATTTTGGCCTCTTGGGGGGGCCCAAGAGGCGACTCGAGGCACTCTAGAGGGGCAGCGCTAATTGGGGACCCCCCCTTCTTTGATAGATCTCCTCCAAGATGGCCCCAAGAGCGCCTCGAAGGCTCCCAAGAGCGCCCCAAGAGCGCCCCAAGAGGGCCCCAAGAGGCCCCAAGAGGCCCCCAAGAGGCCTCCAAGAGGCCCCCAAGAGACCCCCAAGAGGCCACAAGAGGCTCCCCGAGATACGCAAGAGGCCCCCGGGACCGCCAAGAGGCCCCAAGGACGGCCCAAGAGGCCCCCAAGCTCGCAATTGTCCTCCTCCTCCTCCTCTTTTTCTTCCTCCTCCCTCCTCCCCCTCCCCCTCCTCCTCCTCCTCCTCCTCCTCCTCCTCCTTCCCTTTTCCTCCTTCTCGTCCTCCTCGTCCTCGCAGTCCTCCATCTCCTCCTCCTTCTATTCCTCCTCCTCCTCCTCCTGCTCCTCCTCCTGCTCCTCCTCTTCCTCCTCCTACTCCGACGACGACGGCTCCTCCTACATCCTCCCCCTCTTGGGGTATATGGCGGCTCACCCCGCCCTTTGTTCTTCTGCATGCTCCCCCGCTTCCCTCATAACCTCCACTCCCCTGGGACTCATTTCTGGACGGGCTGGTGGGGATACGCGAAGCGTCTAGAATTCATAGTCTCAGAACTTGAATAAAAACCCAAAATTTCCATTCAAATCTTAGGATTTACATTGAAACGTTAAGAATAATCGAGACTCTGGCCGAAAACTTAGATTTCTTCAGCATCGCCTAAGGTGTAACGTTTTCCAAATCAAGACTCGGCTCTCCTGCGGCCGTTCGAGACGATCCAGACAGTCCCAGAACGCACGCCTTCGGCGAGGCGCAGCTGCCGGAAGCCATCCCGAGGCCGAAAAGCCTGGGAACGAGGAGGAGGATGATGATCCTGGAAAAGAGGAAGATGATGATCCTGGGAACGAGGAGGAACGAGGAGGAGGAACGAGGAAAAACCTGGGACAAGACGCTCCAGAGAAACGAAGTCCTAAGTGCCACGAGCCTGAGAAAACAGGCGGCGACAAGAGGCAGAGAGAGAGGAGGCAGGAAGCAGACTACGACACGCCAATCGCGCGACGAAAAGAGGAAGAAGAGGAAGAAAAGGGCCGAAGAGGAAGAAGAGGAAGAGGGCGCATCTCCGCTACACGCGAGGGTGACCCCAGGCAAGAATGACGTTTGGTGCGCGACTTTCGGAGGCCGCCAGCGGGGGGGGGGAGGGGCAAACCCGAGCGCGCAAGACGCTGCTGTCACATCGCATTCCGCGGTCGGGGGACCCCGTCGGACCCGCACCAGAGGTCGCTCCGGCGAGAGGTCCCTCTTACGCCTGGCCGAGCATCGTTCTCGACCCTCCCTGGGGCGGCTTTCGGCGGACAGCGGCGGCCGCCGTGCCGCGGACGGGCGCCTGGCGACCCCGCGCCGCGGCGCATCCACTCGGCGAGGGCGGCGTGCTGCCGGACGAGGCGGCGCGCCTCCTCCCGAGCGCGGCGAGGCGCGGGCTCGGCCGGCCGGCCGCCGTGGGGAGGCCTGGGCTGGGCCGGGTCGCGAGATTGGCTCGGGTCGGAGGCGGGCCCAAGCCTCCAACGGGCTGATAACAAACAGAGCAAGGCTTTTCCGTCGTGGTCGGCCACGGTAGACGACGACGACGACGACGAAGACGACTAGGACGCGCGCGGGACATCAGATACTCACGGGCGGGTGATGCAATAGAGCGATCAGATCCTCACAGGCGGGTCCAGGCGGGTCCAGGCAGGCGGGCAGGCGGGCCGGGCGGGCGGGACATCGAACGGAAAGCGGGCGGGCGGGTTTTCGTGTAATCGAGCGGTCCGCCCTGACGGGCGGCATCAGAGCGGGCGGGTGTGCACGCAGGCGAGCGGTCGGACTCGAACGGGCAGGTCGGAGAGGACGGACCTAAACGAATCCGTCGGGCGGCACATCTCGCTCGCCGCCGAGATGTGCGTCGGACATCGGCGAGGAGAGGAGGGGGAGGAGGAGGAGTAGGAGGAGGAGGAGGGGAGGAGGAGGAGTAGGAGAAGAGGAGGAGGAGGAGGAGGAGGGGAGGAGGAGGAGGAGGAGGAGTCTTGTCTGTTCGGGGGGAATGGGACAGAGCGGACGGGCTTCTGCACAAGCGAGCGAGCGGGCCCGAAGGGGCGGGTCGGGCGGGCGGGCCCAAGCGGGCGGGCGCGGAGGCGAGGCCTGACGGGCCAGTCGGGCGGGTGGGCTTTCATGCAAGCGAGCGGTCAGACCCTAACGGGCGGGTCGGGCGGGCGACACATTCCAGCGGCATGTCGGGCGGGCAGGCCGAAACGGGCGGGTCGGGGGGGCGGGACGCGAGCGGGCGAAAGGGATTTCATGCAAGCGAGCCCGCGGACCCTAACGGGCGTCCGACGTCGTCTGACGGGTCAGGCGGGCGCGTCGTCGCCGTCGATCGTTTCAGTCGTCGGGCGTCGTCGTCGTCGTCGTCGTCATCGTGGTGGATCGGTCATCGTCGCCGTCATCGTCGTCGGTCGTCGTTGTCGTCGTCGACGACGTCGATGTGATTGGCCGTCATCGTCTTCGTCGCGGTCGTCGTTTGCGGGCACCATGGGGGGTTCTTGAACTCCTCCCTCCCGCCCTCGAGCGCGAGGGGCGGGGCGGGGCCTGGGCGTCTACCCCCCCTGCACCTGGGGGGGGGTCCCCCCCTTTCCTACCCCCCACCCTTGCCCCTGTGCGCACCTGAGGACGGAGAGGAGAAGGTCACGCCTCCCCACAGCGCCTACGGAAGCCGCTGTCAGACATCCATGTCCATGCGCTCGCAGCCTGGACACAGAGGCGGCGCGATCCAATGGATACGCAACCCCATTGGCACGATGCGTGCAGGGCATCCGCGCAGAGCCGCCCTGTATCCATGGGGTCACGGCCGCAGAGTCTGCACCGCGAGGCCGTGGATTTGAATACGCGTCACGCCGGCTACTGCGGCATGTGCATTCACGGCGCCTTGCTGAGAGCGTCCCTGGAACGCCGCCGTCGTTCCGAATCGCACTCCCGAGCTGGGGGCTGCAGGAAAACACGCGCATGCGCACACGAGCACGTTTCTCCCCTTGGGGCTGGTCTGACGTTGCTCTGCCATCAGCTGACCTTGGCACAGAAGGCTGCCGCGTCACATGAAGGCGGTAGCATGCACTGGGCGAGGTCATCCGAGGAGCGCGATGGAATGGCGGCCATGAAGTTGGCGGTAATGCACACCGGCATCATGACGACCCCGAATACCAGTAACGCCCAGGCCGCACTTCGCAGTAATTCGCCGGCCCAACGGGCCAGAGGCGTGCTAAGATCTCCGGTAACTGCTAAATAATACTTCTACTTCGCGCGCGCGGGGCGGCCCCTGGGGGTCCCCGGACGAACAGTACCCCGGGCGATCCCCGGCAGGGTCGGGTCAGAGATGGTTTTCCTCCTGGGCGCCGCCCCCGTGGCCCTCCAGAGAGCCCCAAGAAGGGCCACGAGGCCGCCAAGAGCCCTCCAAGATGGTTCAAGAGTGCTCCGAGATGCCACACGATCGTTCCAAGACGGCCAAGATGGCCCCCAGACGCCCCAAGAGGCCTCCAAGAGCACTCCCCAGAGTGCCCCAAGAGGCAAAATTCATTACTTTTCCTTAGGTTTTGGCCAGATTTTTGCGTGTCCATCTTTTCGGCTTCACGACGCCCCAAGACGGCCCAAGAGGCCCCCAAGATCGCCCCAAGAGGGCCCAAGAAGGTCCCAAGAAGGCCCCAAGATGGCCCAAGAGGGCTCCAAGACGGCCCCAGAGGCATCCAAGACGGCCCAAGAGGGGGCTCAGAGGGGCCCCAGAGGGCCCCAAGCGATGCCCCAAAAGGGGAACACAAAACAAAACTTCGAGCCCTCGGTCTTAAGAAGCCCCCAGGAGGCCTCAAGAGGCCCCTGAGAGGTCCCAAAAGGCCCCAAGAGGCCCTCAGGAGGCCCCCAAGCGACGCTGAAGAGGCCCCCCAGCGGCCCCAAGAGGCTCAGTCATGCGAAATGGGCCGGCGGAATGAGCGAAGCGATTCAATAAGTTGCCATCCTTTGGGGTAACAGCAAGGTATAACCATGGCGGACAAATATTGCAAAGCAGGGCAAAGCCAGTGGCGCCACTCAAGCTGAACACGACACCCAGCGATGACGTCGCCAGCGAAATACCCAAACAGGTTACCCCTATAAGAACAGTGATGGCTTGGTAGGAAATTCCTAAGATGTGCTTGACAGCTTTCAAGTAGCCCTTTTTCACGCTTGACGCTGTCGCCTCCTCGTACATCAAAGCTTCTTCGCTGGGCGAAAACATCGGGGAGGTTTGCCGTTCAAAGCCACAGGTCATCGCTGACTCGATCCATCCGAGGCATGTACCTCGGACAGGCTGCACGAGAAGCGGGAAGAACCCGCAGCAAACAACAGCCATGCCGATGCGCGCGATCATTACGGACAGGTTAGATGACGGGTAGTTGCTTAGCAGGTCCTGAGGTGTCGCAGACCCGAAACAGAACACAACGCTCCAAGCGATCGTTCCGAAAATGAACGTCGCCGCCACAGTTGCAGTAAGAATCACAGCGTTGACCCTGGTCGCAGTTGCGTTCTCAAGTTCGCCAACAATCGAAAAAATGCTCATGTGCCCGCAGAGACAAAAAGTAAAAACAGGAATAGTCTGGAAAATCTTCTCCGAGTTGCCATAACGAAACATGTACGAAGTGCCGCTGTCTGGGCAAGACCCACTGGCCGATCTCGCGAACATCAATCCAGCCAGGTACAACATCATCACGAAAGAGAGGAATGAGGAAATCCGGAGAAACGATATCTGCGAGAAAAAGCTGAGGGGAAAGGCAACCAACGAGAACACAAATATAATGCAGTTCTCCCTGCTTGCAACGCCAAGTGGCTCTAGAGAGTCTCCGATGATGATGAGCGAAGTGATCAGGGCACCACTGCATGCAAGAACCATGCCCACCTCCATTGCGAGCCCCAGCTCCCTCGCGTCCGCTCGCCTGCAAGCTGTCGCAAAGGTCAACTTCTCCCCTGGATGCAAGTGCTCCAAGACGTGCACTCCAGCGGACCCGAGGAACATCATCCCGACGTAGCCTGTGATGGCCGAGAAGAAAAATACCGTCATGCCCAGCCCGAGGCCACCTTGTGCGACGGCCCATGGCAGGCCTAGCACACCAGGTCCTAGGATGTTGTTGCAGAGCACTGAGAAGGCACCGAAAACAGACAATCTGGACATGGCGCTTGGGGAGATGGAAGTGCACGACGACCCGTCTGGAGCTGAAACGAAACTACCTTGAGCCAGGAGCGCCCGCGAGTGTGTTGGGTATTGAGAAGAACACACACGATCCGCCGATTGTACCCCGTCCGTAGCCATGCAAATAATGCTTTGCAAGACCAAGTTAAACCCAACTGGCTACCCACACTAGAACGGAGCGTCTGAGCTCAACGGCCTCAGACTCCGCCGACCTCGCATGAGACGATCCTGGGCCGACCCCACAGGATTCCGTCACGTCGCTCGTTACCACAAGCGCATTCTGCTTTCTGCTTCGCTGATGGGGGAGGGGGGAGACAGACTAGCAGGAGGAGGAAGGAGGAGGAGGAGGAGGAGGAGGACAAGGAGGAAGGGAAGGGAGCCGGCTTTCCTGCAAGACCCCTCGCTCGCGCGTGCCGACGCGCGCGGCGAGGGGCAGCAGCGGGGATCGCCGTCCGAGAGGGCAACCCTGGAGGGTCCGAACAGCTGGGCGGGCGCCGGACGCCAGAGGGGGCAGCGCGCACAACTTGCCATCGCTCGGACGTCCATTCCTCGTGCTTTTCTGGATTTCATGCGTGTGTTTTTTTGCCAGCTGATCAAAGATGCTCCTCGAGCGTCCTCGCCGAGGAAAAATACGCACGTCCGAGCGATGCCAAGACAAAGGGGTGGCGCAAGAGGGGGGGCAGGATGTCTACTTAGAAGCTTCCTAGTAGCCGGGAGGGTTTCTCAGTAGCCGGGAGGGCTTCAAAAAAGGCTCCCGCCTTTTACACAGCACCCCGCCCTGCGCGCCACCCCCTTGTGCGCGCGGCCAAACAGTGTCACCACCCCTGTCAGCGTTGGCCACCGTGGGCCCCAGGCGGTAAGCTCCTGCACTCGACGCGTGTGATCTGTGTGATGCAGCCTATGTTGAGCATGGGCTGAGGTGCGGGCTACGTGTTACCACCTGTGTAGAGCACGATCTGTGGTGCAATCTACGCCGTGCATGCTGACTGGTGCATGCTACGCAGTGCAAGCTACGGGGAACGATATACCCAGACCCCGGACGTCATGATTTTTTCGCAACGTCGACCCCCAGAGGTCTGGACCCCTTCCCCAGGACCAGTTCTTCATCCTGAATCGTTTTTTGACGGTCCCGAAGCCCAGTGAGGGCCCCCAGAGGCCGAAAATAGCGAAAAAAATCCCGTCGTGAATTTTTCGCAACGCGAGGGGGTCTGGGTA